TGTTTGTTGCTGTTATTGTTGTTGTTGCTGTTGTAGCTGCTGTTTTTGCTGCTCTGGCTGCTCTGGCTCCTGTGTTAAACCGGAAATCCGGTGTGCGTTTGTTTTCTTTCACAGCAACTTTTACTTCTACTTCATTGGTATAAACTTTGCTTTGCCTTCCCTTACCTTGCTCAGCTTTTTCTTCTTATTTTGGCGTTGTGTTTATCTCGTCTCGTCAACGCTCATTTCCCTTCTCTGATCTTCTCTGCTCCACTCCCGCCCGCTCGCTCTGGTCTTGCCAGTTCTTAGTTGTATGTATGTATGTATGTTTGTTTGTTTGTTTGTAGGCAGTTGTGAGAAATTTCGGTCGTCACCTCAGCAAGAGCAGCAACTGCCAAAGCTTTGAACTGGCCCTAGAATAGTACGACCTGCCATCCAATGGACCAACTCACAGTTGGACAGACCGACAGCTACTCAACTTGATTGCGTATTTACAGGCTGGCAATACTCACACACATCCATGTATGTACGTATATGTATGTATGCTTGTATGGTGCTCGATGAACGCATGCCATCGGAATGTGGCCCAAAAGAATGTTCACGCTCTTCTAACAGAATTTACAGCGCGCTGAATTATAGTCAAACATCCATAACTCGACCGAGCATCTCATTCTTGACAATTTGATTGTTGGCTAATGGATGAGAAGTCGAAAGGTATTTTCTGGCCAACACGAAAACGCTTTCAAAAGCCGGATACCCAAAAGTGACTTGAATAAATCATTGTACATAATTTGTTAACATATTTTTGGCCCTAAGAATGGACTTGAGCTCAAGGTTTTGGCAATATTGGTTTCGATTCTTTAAATTTGAAATATCACCTTTGTTTAATATGCGATGTCTCTTGGAACTTTTACTGCCTTTCTTTAATGAATGGGACATAGATTGTTTGTATAATAATAATATTATATAAAGAGTTATGAGATAGAAAAGTTGTCGAAAAGGTTGCAGAAGTCGCCCATTTAAAATAGCAATAAAGTGCGGAAGAATGTCAAAAAGCGATTTCGATTTAATATAAATAAAAGCTATACTTTGTCCCTGTACTATACAGAACTGCAAGTGGGAACAGTCCAGAACAGTAAATAGTTATTGAAACAATCTTTTGAAAGTAAATGAAACGTACCCGGAGTTTGGAGCCGATTTTTTAACTGAGTATTTAAATATATACATATTAGTATGTATTTGAGATTATATTGTGTGATTTATTGCTTTTCATTCACAGAAAGTTTCACCGTATTTATGCGCTTTCGCAGTGTCCATCCTTTGGTAAATTTTTGCAGCGTTTGTCGAAATATTTGCTTATCAATATGTAAAGTTTTTTATTAACTAAATAACGGTGCTGGCATCGGCTTACACAGTGGTGTGGGGCGCAGAGGCACCAGATATGGCAGAAATATCAGCGCTTTGAAGTGCGAGCCGCGAAAAACGATTCGAGGGCGAGGCGGAATAAAATACCGAGCAGCAGCGTTCAATAAACATGCTCGAATTTCAAAGAATTTCTCACGCTGCTTACATCAGACGCCGGCAGTCGTCGTCGAGCCGCCGCTCAAGCGCACTCGTGTTGTGAAGTGTATGTTTGAGACGTGTATAGTATGTTCTCTGCTATGTTCTCCCTAGCCCCTGCTTACCAACGCTCCCTCACATATCCTGCCCAGAAGCAAACACACATACTCGTACTGCACAGAATGGCTCTCACTTCGAGTGCTGAAGGAAGGCCCCAGGAATTTTAATAATCCTCAAGCTTACCATGAAATATGAATAAGCAATGTGAAGTGATGTAGCGGACAACAACAACAACAACAACAACAACAGCAACATAAACGACGAGCAGAAGGATAACAACAACAATGGGGCGCATTTTGTCAACAAATGCAAAAATTAAATAAAAAAGGGTTGAAGCGCCTCAAATCAAAGGCCAAGAGGGAGGAACTACAAATGACGCAGGTGGTGCAGGATTTGGTCTTCCTTAGCAACTGCTTGTGCTTCTTCTTCTTCTTCTCATTATTTTTCTGGTTGTTCAGTTTTGAGGGGAATGTAGGTCAAAATGCGTGGGAAAGGAGCGATGAAGGAGCGACAAAGCAGCGGCGGCAAATTAGTGGCAAATGCGGAAGTTGAGGAAGTAGTAGGAAAAGGAAGCAGCTAACGGAAGTAAATAAAACTAATAAAGAAGCGTAAAACGAGGAAACTTAAACAACAAGAGAACAACAACAAAATGCGGAAGCAAGCCGTACTACATCCGCAAATGCCTAGGCAAGGGCGAAAGGGAGAGAGGTAGAGAGAGAGAGAGAGAGAGAGAGAGAGAGAGAGAGAGAGAGAGAGAGGGAGATAAAAGTAAAGGCATTTTTAGTGCTCAATTGAGTCAAAGGCTCAAAGGTCAGGTCACAGAAACATGCTAGTCTGTTTAATACGTTCTTACACTAGGCCCTTTGCTGTACATACATAAATACATATGTACATATGCCTAAGTATGTGTGCGTATGTGTGTATATACTTCCTGCTGACCAGTCTAACAGGCGGCTCAGTTCCACATGCTAATCCTCCGATCATATATGCATGAGTATGTGTGAGTTTGACTGTGCGTACTTATTTATTTACTTCCGCTGCCCGCTGCACTAAATCACTTCCGCACTTCCGGCTTGTCATTTGTCTGCTATAAGTAAAGGCAAAAAAAAAAAACAAGAAAAATAATAATAATGGACCGCCTGTCGTTGTTCGCCTGCCAAATACCGTAGCAAATGGAAGGCATGTAGTTAGGACCTTCCTTCGTTCAGCGCAAACGTTCTTATTCGTGTGTTTGTGTGTATTAATATGCGTGCGTGTGTGTGTATGTGTGTGTGTGTGTTTAGGCAGGTGTAATCATCTGGCGACCAATTGAAAATCATAGACAAACAACGCCTCAACGAGCAACCCAAGTCAGTGTATTGATTTCATTATAAAAATAATTTGAATAAAAATTCCAAACAAAATATTGATAACGAAATTGAAACCGAAACAAACAAGAGGAAAACCATGAGCAGAGAAGAAGAAGAAGAAAAACAAGTAGTCCTGCTCTACGACTATAGGATACACTATAGCAAGCCTTTTTGTTTGTTCGTGTTTGTGTTGAGGCTTCTTCTCTAAGTCCGGGAATCTACTTTTAATTGAGATTGTTGGTCAATATTTAGCAATAAATCCGTAGTTGATGGGAAAGTTTAAAGAAGGGTTTCGCACTTAAAAAGTAGCCGAAAGTTGAAAAATTAAATAAGCATATATATGCATGATCTAGATAGAGTATACAGGTCTTAAGAAAAGTCTCGGCCAATAAGAGCCAGACTGTGAAACACCCCATTCATTCATTATTTGCACAAACCTTACATATAGGGTATACAAAAAGTATTGACCGAGTGAGAGAGTGACATTACACGAAAAGGTTAAAACAGAGTTCCACTTAAAAAATTGATTGGTTTCGATAATTTCATTTGAAACCTGTTGTAGCTGTTGTAGCTGTTGTCGCTATTGTTGCGCTGCTCACAATAAAAAGGAATGACAACGAGATCGTCTAAAGTGCTAACACATAACAAATATAAACCCAAGATGCTAGTTGGATTTTATTTTTATCGCTACACTTGTGTCCCGCTGCCTGGTGCCCGTTGCCCGTTGCCTGCTGCCCAATGCCTGTTGCCTGGAGGGCAGCAACATAAGTTTTTATGCACAAGCTGAGCAGGATTAAGTAAACAGAAAGGCAAAGGAGCAACAGTAACAGTAACAGTAACAGTAACAGCAGTGGCAGCAACAATAAAAATGTTAAGAGCTTTAGAGCAGGAAATGATAAACACTGAGCGCAGTCATTGTTGTTGTTGCTGTTCTTTGTTGTTCTGGTTCAGGATATGGGACAGTGTGTTAGAATTCAATTAATGAAAAGTATCTAGAAGAATGTTTACATATTTACATGACTGCACACAAGACTCCAAAGCAAATACAAACAGATGCACACACACACACACACACACACACACAGCCATACACACATATAGTCGCTCCGCACAGATGCCGAAAACCCATATGTTAATCAAGACCGGTAGCTCGGACCGTACTCCAAGTGTTTGCTCGCCTTTTGGGCTGATTTTGTTTTTCTACTTACTCGCACACTTATACTCTGAATTTCGAGTTTCGGCCTTTCACTCGCCTCGCCTGTTGCCTTCATAATAATGCCTTGAATGGGCACTTCAAAGTAACGCAACGGCAATGGCAATGGTGGAGGAGACGGCAGCTCAAGCGCTTGTCAAGTAGTCTTCCATAGTATCGTTGTTGCCCTTGTTGTTGGTGTTGTTGTTGGTGTTGTTTTTGTTGCTGTTGCTGCTGGATGCTGTCCAGATATTTTCTGCGCGTTATGAATGAAATTACTTTTATGATATGCATCCCTGAGGCGTGTAGAGCAGAGCAGAGCAGAGCAGATCCAGAGTCTGGCAGAGTCGTGCTGTTTATTGTCTGGCACTTAACTATGCAAATGACGTCATAAAATCATTCGTCTCGATTTTAGTTGCACATTATGCGCAAACGAAAGCATGCCATCGAAAATCTTAAGTGCCAAAGAGATCAACCTTGACCCGCATTCCCTGAAACTTAAAAGCATTGGCAACCGTTGCCTTGTATTTGAATTGGAGTATCAATAAAATGATACAATAACCAATTGTTTATTAATGAACATTATGTGGCGGCTTCAGCTAGTTTAGTACATATTCCCGCTATTATGTTTTTTTTTTTTCATAATTCCCGCAGTTGTTGGACGTTTTTATTACTAAAATTTGAGAATTACAACCAGTTAGGTTTCTTTCAAATCTCATAAGACTTATAAAAAATTCCACTTGTAAAATTGCCAAAATGTGCTTGAAATAGTAAAAGAAAACTATTACTTTTAGAAGGAACTTAAACTTATTGCCTTGACTTGATTTTAATTTAACAATTCAATTTCCTCTCTCTTTCAGGAGTCTGAAGATGATCTGCCTATTTGCGCGCCCAATGCGGTCTGCTCTAAAATTGATCTTTATGAAACGCCTTGGATCGAGCGTCAGTGTCGCTGTCCTGAGTCCAATCGGCTACCCAACAATATCATACTCCATCATCACACGCACAGCGTCCACTCAGAGCCGACGACGGGGGTGGAGGGTCAGAAGTATCGCAGTTACTATGAAAAGGAGAAGTCCTTGCAACACAAGCGTCTACTCTTGGGAGAATTTAATGACAAGAAATTCGAGAGCCTGCACCTAAAGAAGCTGATGCAGAAGTGGGGCGCTGTGTATGAGGACGATTTGCATTTGCGCTCCACGGACTATTTGGAGCAAGACTACAACGATGCATTACCAGCACCAGCTTACGATGAGAATGCAGCGGATAATGAGTTTCCCCATGCACCTCGTCGCGAGTTCGGAGGGACAGCCCATATGCGGCATTCTGGCCATCGTGGCCAGAAGGAACCCCTCACCTTTATAGGCGGTTGTCCCAGCAGCTTGGGCGTAGAGGATGGTCACACCATAGTAGACAAGACCAGGCACTATAAATTGTGCCAGCCCGTGCACAAGCTCCCTGTTTGCAAGTGAGTACAACTTTAAAGAGAATTAAAAAGCATTTTTGTACACTAATTACTTTGAGTTTAAAAATTTGTAAGGCATTAGCAGTTTTTCGTCACGAAATAAATAAATAAATATAAATATATTTATGTATTTATGATAAATATATTTATATAATTCAACCAACAGACTATAACTTGAAACTTTAACTATAACAGACTATAAGACTTGACATTCTTCAAACATTCTTAATGAAAATATATTTTTAAATTGAGCCTTTTTCAACAAGTTATATTTATTGTTGTGATAAAACGCAAGTGATATTTTCAAATCTTTCCAAACAAGAAAATCTCTCTGCTTGCAATGAGACACTGTTTCCAAACTGTTAGAAATGGAAACAGTCTACATAGTTTAAAAGTAAAAGGTATTAAAAGTATTTTGTTAAATATTAAAAGTTGTATTACTTTTTATACTATTTCAGACACTTTCGCGACTTTACCTGGACCCTAACTATGTCGATGGAACTGAATGTTACGGAACAGGTTGTGCACTGTCGTTGCCCTAAGAACTCGGTCACATATCTGACCAAACGCGAGTCTGCCGAAGATGGCAGTCAAGGCTATCGATATTTGTTTGCGTGTTCACCTCTGACGGTTAGTATAGACGGGTTTAAAGTCTTTTAGTATATGGGAACTCATGTTTCTTAATTTGATTTTTTAGCGCCTGCGTTGCCAACGCAAGCAACCCTGCAAGCTCTTCACGGTGCGGAAGCGTCAAGAGTTCCTAGACGAGGTAAACATCAATTCACTCTGTCAGTGTCCCAAGGGTCATCGCTGTCCCAGTCATCACACACAGTCGAGCGTCATTGCGGGCGAGAGTTTCCTGGAGGACAACATACAAACCTACTCTGGCTATTGTATGGCCAATGATTAAGCTAAGCGGCATTCCCCTAAATACTCCCTCTTTTAACTTTCCCCCGTAGTTTAGGAGTGTAAAAAGAAAGCAGGCAGTTCGCTGCTAGCAGCAACAATTATTTATCGAATCGCATACATATGTCGACTGAGCCAATTGAGTCTCGCCAATTTACCAATTAAATGTAAAACTACTTACTAAAAATTCGAATGTAGTGCAGTGCGTGGTAATACTATATTTTTGTCTGTAAAGTTTTTGTTTGTTTAGTTGCTACCAAAATTTGGTCATAAACATAAATATTTAATTAGTTCTAAGATGCAAGGCTGGGCGAAGTTTTGTTATACAAATAATTTGTAATAAATATTTATAAAACCGAGAGCGATTGTATATGTAATATAGTACACACACACACACACACACGTACTACACCTGTATGAAATAAATTGTATATATTAAAATACGCAAGCTTATAATTAAAAGTGAAATTATGAAACGAGAACAAAAATAATGAAAACAAAAAATAAAAAGGAAAAAGTACAGGAGCCACTTCAAAGAGCAACTTTTATCCAATGCGTGCCAAACTAGGGTGCAGTGTTTTTAGTTTCTTTTTAATTTATAATTCTACTGAATAGCCAAGTAACAAGTAACGTAAAAAGACAGTTTGAAACTGTGACAGGAGCTACGCACATATTGAAGCATAAATTAGGTTATGAACACAGGCAGGTACGAAGTGATGAAGTTTTTTTTAGTGCAATTCAACCAACATTTTCATGCAAGTGAGTTCGAGCAACTAATCTATGGAAACGTTAAACATGTTTGCTTTAATATTTTTACAAAAATTCCAAACTATATAATCATGAGGGACGTAACCGAAATTGGTTAAAATGCGTATAGCTTTCCAAATTAATTTAATCTATTATTAACGTTAAAATACTTGTAGTAATGTAAACGATACTATACTTACAAACGCTGCATTAAGCATAAAACATACAAAAACATTTGTTTGAAATAATGAGTATGATTATTCCGTTGTGCGGCTGATGTTTTTCTTTCGCATAAAAAGAGCGATGCAAATAAATGTAATATTATATATGAAGGATATGCGAGTAAATATATTTAACTATTCAAAAAAGGTAAGAAAAATATAGCAAATTTAATACAATCATTTACTGGCATGCTATATTTTAGCAGAGGACTCCAACTGAGGCAATGTTTTTCTATGACAGAAACTGAATAACACAGCTAAATAAAATAGCATTAGCATTTTTGGGGTACGCAACGAGAAACGACACCTTAAGGCCTACATTCATACGCCAGACGGATAGATGAACCCACTAAATAAGTTAAGGACTTAATCATCTTGGCAACATCTTAAAAACAACGCCTTTTTAAATAATAATGTAAATATTTCGCCTACAGCTAGGAAAGAAGTAAATGTAACAAACTTTTTTTCCAATGCACAATAGTGAATAATACTTATTCAAGACGCCCAAATTTTATGTTGAGCGTAAGAGTGACTAACCACAATTAAAAAGTTAGCTCCAAAAACTATCAGATATCTGTAATAATGGGTTAAAATTTCTTATACCTCATCCAGAAATATACTTGTATAACAATTATTTTAATTATAAGCGAAAATGGGGCAGGGTGGATAGTAATCCAAATCTTTAAAAGGAATTGTGTAAACTTTTTTCAGTAAATAAATAGATGAACAATATTTTCAAAAGTTTTAGATTGCAGTAACAAATTATGCACATACTTGTATAATGCAACCATACCGATGATGCATTTTAAATGTGTTCAACACATTTTCCTTACTACCGCTGTTTTCATGTATGTATATACATACACTAGCAGGTATTGCCCGTCTTAACCCGGCTCAATATGTTTCCAATTGTATTTATTTTGTGTGTGCATAACCTACCCATATGTTTTCACCTTAAAGGTTACCAGTAGGAAGGCATTTAAGGTATTTAAATGAACATTTTCTGTTCTTGACAAAAAATTGTTCAGTAGTCCGTTACATTTTTGTTCTTGACAAACTATTTCGTTAAACGAACATGACCACTATAACTAATATTTTATAAAGCTCGTTTTCCCCCCGTTGGAGCTAGAATTTTCCAAAAGCCTTTCTTAGTGTGCTCCTACACTATGATGGATACTATGAAACGATACTTGAGTCCAAATTTAAATTCACATTTGAGTCTTTTCGTGCCATATTGAGTCAATACGGCCACGCACAAACTCGGAATATGAAACACGGCACTCGTGTCAATGCCGTGCAGCGATGAGCCACGATCAAAAAGCACAGGCACCGATACCATCAAAATATCGAAGTTTGAATGCAATAAGCAGAATATTTAAATAACAAAATCTAATTATTTATTGACATCAATAAGAACAAATCATATACATACATACATCTGCCCGCAATGCGAAGCAGAATATGCGTAGCTCCGTTATTCGGTTTCTGCTTTACTATCGCTTACGCAGTCGTTGCCTAGCGACGGTAACTGTAACATTTTGGCGTTTTGCCTTTGCAATTAACATTAAATGGTCAAAACGAAAGAAGAAGAGCGAGCTAATGACTTGCAGTTGTTGTTGTTTTTAGAACATTATTTTATTTACAATCAAACAACTGTGTTCGATTGCCCAATGTATACATTAATACGAATGTACATACATGCTATATTCATACACAGGCATACATACATATGTACATATGTTTCTCTTTACTTTTTCAACCGTACGTAGAGAACCGCACACATAGACACGAACTGTTGCTTGTTGTGTGTGAGTGTGTGTATGTGATGTCCCCAACTATTTGATATTTGTTGTTGCTGCATAAAGTTATTAATGAAAACACGAATGCCAAATGCACTAAACAAAGAAAAAATTACTTTTAAAAATGTTATATTATATAATTTTCAATTAATTAACATTTCTTGCTCTGTCAGTGCAAGATGAATGTACATACATACATATGTTGATACATATGTACATACATAGATGTGCACATATGTATGGACATTCACACATTAGTGTCTCACATGTTGCTTTGGCTATTTCAATCGTTTGCACGCACGAACAGCTATTTGTATGTGTGTATATGTATACTTAGTTGTCCCCAACTGTTTGATATTTTGTATTGTTTGTTCTGCCTGCTTTTGTAAAATGCATATTTTGAAAATCCTTGAATGCAAAGTTGTAGATTTAGTTACGTAGATTACATTATCCAAATTTTAAATCGATCGGACTAAATTTATAACAAAAACTTTTCATTTGAAATAGTGAATAAATATTAAAACCCCAATAATTCAAGCTCCAAATCACAAAACCACAAAAATCCGAGTATGCAGTTTTGTTTGTATCCTTTAATTGATTTTAGAAACTAAGTTTTAAGTCGATCGGTTGAAAAATGCGGATTTTTCAAACAAACTTTGGAGCTAATTTTCCCCCCTTTGGAGCTCGAATTTTCCAAAATCCCTTCTTAGTGCTCATCTACACCATTATAGGATACTTGAGCCCAAATTTCAGCATCCTAGCTTTTACCGTGTGGGCTGTGGGCTGTTGACGCGGTTTGCTTTTGTGCCCCAACATTTTTTTTACAGGAAAACTCCCATATTTTAGGCCCCCAAAAAAATATCAAAAAACCAAGTATACAGTTTTTCTTGGAATTGGAATTGGAGTATACAAACTAAGTTTAAAGTTAATCAGATGAAAACTGTAGATTTTTCATACAAACGTTGGAGCCTGTTTTCCCCCCTTTGGAGCTCGAGTTTTCCAAAATCCTTCTTAGTGGGGACCTAGACTATGAAAGGATACTTCAGTCCAAATTTCAGCTTCCTAGCCTTTACCGTTTGGGCTGTACGTTGATCACCAATCATTCAGTCAGTCAGTCAGTCAGGACAAACTGTTTTATATATATAGATATGTAGCTTACTAAACGCCTAAATCACGAATACTACTAAGAGTCCAAGGGGAAAGCCCCTGAATAAATAGCACTGCAATTAAGAAGCAGCTAAAAAGTAGGCAACGGACATTTATTCGAGGCAGCCAACCAGATGGTCTGAGACTTGGCTAAAGTAGTGGGGGTCATCACTAAAGCAATTCCGACATCCCTCAAAGTAGGCAACGTTTTTTTAAATATAATTTAAAACAGCACAATTATTGTAAGCCCTAAAGAATGAACGTTACCGCATTATTTGAAATAAAGGCTGAATAAAAAACATAGTGTTAGCCTAATATGGAGCATGCTAATGTATAAAATAACTCAAGTGAATCGAATACCAGCAAATGCCGCAAAAACAATTAGAAGGAAAGATGGAACAGCCAGAGGTATCTAAATTAAAGCTTGGGCAGCTAAAAACGCAAATCATTCAAACAGAACGAGCAGCTTTGTTGATTAAAAATGCGGCATTAGAAAGCACCAGCAGCACTTACAGAATCAACGGTGGTTATGGCGGCAATATAATTAAATAAATAGCAAATTGTAGCAGCAAACAAGGGCAAAAAGAAAACCCACACATAAACAACTAATTCCACAAAAAATTGGGCTTGTAACGAAGGTGGCGCACACTTAGCTCCTTACCGCAAATTCAATTAACGCGTCGAGTGCCACAACCCAGAAGATAACATAAAAACAGGCAAAAATTATTAAGAAACATGCATACTATATTCGTATAAAAAGTTCAAGTGTAAAAAGATAAAGTGTAAAATTGCGCTGTCTCAACATGGCGAAAAGTATCTCGTAAAAGCCTAAAACAACAACAGCAACAGCTTCAGAAAGAGGCGCGGTTTTGTTTTGCTGGGTTTTTATAGACGACCGGAAGCTGTGCGCGTTAAAACAGCAAGAAATAAAGAATGAAAAAAACTGGATTTTGGGGCGTTGTTGTAGCTGCAGTTTGTCTCTTGAAATGCATAAAGCGAAATTATTAATAAAAAATGCTAAGACTTTGTCGGCTTAAAGTGCGGCTAATTACATGGCATGTTTTATGAGCCGCATTTCACACACAACCCAAAGACAATTTAAAGAGCAGCAACTAACTACTAAGCCGCTCTTGTCAGCGCCACTGTTGGGTTCCCGAAATTCTCAAGTGCCCAAGTGCCACGTTTAACGGACAGAATGAGCACAACTACAAGA